ATATATGCCTCGGCCTCGATCTCGGCCTTTAAATCATCGTCCACAACCTGATGTCTGATAATTTTTACTTGGTTGAGTGTTGTCATATGATCGACCACCACGTCCTCGTGTTCCTCGTCTACCTCTATATCTTCTATGAAATCCTTCATGATTTCCTTGGCCTCGTGTGTAGTTACTGTTAGCTTTACCTTCATAGATATTCAACTTACTTTGTAGAGCTTGCTCCATATTTTCAAAATTTTCATTTTGCTTCATCTTGTGCTCATGGGCTTGGAGTGAGCCCATAAGCTCATCGATCGATATCTAAGACAAATCTTTCGATTCCTTCTATTACCACTACCATGTAGTCAAATTTTCATGTCAACAACCGTAAAATCTTTTTCATCACTCTTACTTTGTCTAACGATTCACCATTTCTTTTCATTTTATTTACTATTGCTTTAACACGACCAACATAATCATCGACACTTTATGTGTAACATCCCAAACTATGGGTTAGTGACCAAATTGTAAAAGTTCAAAAGTTAGTAACTAAAGTAGAATTTATTGAAAAGTGTAGGGACTTATATGAAAATTCTGGTATATGATTAAATTATAAAGAATGATGATTGGAAGGGTAAAATGGTCATTTAACTAATAAATTAATTAAAAATAGGATATGATAAGAATATATATGTATGTGGAGGACAAGAATAAGGAGAGATTTATCTAGAAAACTCTTTCTTCTTCATTCTCTTCACCGTGAACCTCCAAGGCAAATGTGAGTTTTTTTTGTTAGCTGATTAATTGTTAATTTTAAGTGTGTGTTTTGATCCTTAGGTGATACTTAAGCTTAAGGAAAACTTAAGTTGTCTTAAAATCAAAAGATAAAGAAGTTATGAAAGATTTAAGAGAAGGGGTTTATAAATGAAGTTCTGAAAAAGAGTTAATAAATGAACTTTGAGATGGAATTTGACTTGTTATCAATAAGAATAAGAGATTTATGAAGTTAGAAATGATTAATAACAAAGTTGAAAGTTTAGTAAAATTCTTAGTTTTAAGAATCATGATGAGATATGGAAGATAAAGATGGTTATGTGGATATAAGTTGATTTAAGTAATGGTAGTTGAGTTTAATAACATGATAGGGGCTTAAAATGGAAGGTTTAGATTAGTATTGATGAATTTCCGGGCTTAAAAAGTGATTTCTTGGCAAAGTGTATCGTTACACATTCAACAGGTATCGATACCCTCTTGAACGAAAAAATCATCGAATTCAATAAGTGTATCGATACATAGGCAGTGTATCGATACCCCCTTGAAATGAAAAACTTCGAATGTAATTTGTGTATCAATATATAGGCAGTGTATCGATACACCAGTTAAGGGATGTATCGATGCCCTATAGAGTGTACTGATACCTACTGTAAATAAGAATTGAAATTAACCTTTAGAAATGAAAAAAAATGGAGTATTCTATTTGGAATACTGATATGTAGCAATGTATGATTGTATAGATATCAAGTCCAAGCAATTTCAGGAACCACCACAAAGTTAGAATTGATCCAAAGAGAGAATTATAGAGATGGATTTGGAAATTAAGTGAGGCTAAGGTGAGTACATACTATAGATATAGTGTAATGGAATAAGACTTGTGATAAGTCTATTTCCTATGTAAGTTTTCATAGTTCCATGGTTATGAACATACATACATGATGACTATTGTAAATACATGCATAAGTTATATATGTTTATATGATATGATATTGATGATTATATGCACATGTGATCTGTGACAGAAGAGAAGTATGTGATCATAAGAGAAATGAAATGAATACATGAATATATGAAGCATAATGATAGTGCCCATGTTATGTGATATGAGATCTATAGGTATATTTGGCATGCCAAGTGTCGAGGGTTACCTAGGTTCTTCGGAATCTATGGACAGTTACATATGTTCTTCGGAACATATGGACATATACTTATGTTCTTCAGAACATATGGACAGCTACCTAGGTTCTTCGGGACCTATGGATTGGCCATTCAGTACATTGATTGAGCTGTGGTGACAGCATAATTGTGCACAACCTCAATGTACTCACATATCTTAAGTTCTCAGTAATGTACATGGGCCTACAAAAGGTATTAAAAGAGCTTGCATTATTATATGTTATCATGTTATTAGTACTTACACTGAATCACATGTGACATAATTGAATGATTAGATTACATGTTCATATCTACAGAAAATGCATTATTATTATATTTATATGCCTCAGTAAGTCTATGACTTAGCGTGTAAGTGATTTATACGTAGGTACTGAGAAGCAGGAGGATATAAGCTAAGTTCAACGGAACAACATATCTCCACTCAAAGATCATATCAGAAGTAAATTACACAGTATGTCTTGTTATGTAATAAATAGGTTGGCATGTAAACAAAGTTGTTAAGTATGTATGCTCTGATCAAGTTTGGTAATGTTTTGAACGTATTTTATTAAATTATCCAGTAGTATTTAGTAAGAGTTTAAAAGTATTCACTATTTTGTACAAGTAAATATTTTTAAATGTTAATGTGACACTTCGGATTCGTATCCGGATCGAATACGGATTGGGGTGTTACATTATGTATTTTTCATTTTCAACATTTCAAACACAACTCTTAATGGTTATAAATGTACCTTTTTTGCTTTTTTGACACATTGAAGAGATTTTTGTAAAATCTCTAATGCTTGTTTTGCAATCTTCGTGTCTAAGTTTTTTTTCAAATGTTGATTCCTCAACTCCTCGAAAAATAAAAAATAATGTCCTCTTGTAATTCTTCTGGGATTCCTTCAGTACATGTTTCTCTTCATTGGTCAAAACTGTTTCTTCTACTGAATTTTCAAGTTCAACATAACCTTCTTCGACGACATCCCAACAATCTTGGAAACCGAGTAATGCTTTTATTTGGATACTCCAATTTCTATAGTTCGCCTTTGTTCACAACGAAATTTGTGGTTGAATCATGTTAGCCATTTTCACTATTGTGTAAATCTCGAACCAAACTCTTATACCAATTGTTGGAAGCTTTGGTGGGCACTCGATAAACTTTATAACTCGTACGATATTATTGATACGAATAAAAATACAATACAACAAACAACACTAGCTTCAACTAGTTTACAAATACCACAAAACTTTGCTAAGTTATTTTTCTCTCAATTTTTTTCTTCTTCTGCTTGAATTCCTTAAGCTCTAAATACATATATATAGGCATAACAAACTGTCTATTTTGATCCATCAATTTGTCGCCTTACAATTCTTCTCTTGATAGAATGCTGGACTGTTGTAATATTAAGTGTCACGTTAAAAAATGCTTAATTATTAAGCATTCAATTTGTTATCCGTTTGTTTGTCATTTCATTAAGGCTTAATATCAAAATAAGCGTTCAAACTATATTAGTTTTCTCAAATAGGTGCCTAAACTATTTTTTGACTCAATCAGGTGCCTAACGTTACCCATTTAGGTGTTTAGGTCATCAACGGTGTTAATTTCCCGTTAATTGACACGTGTAACACTTTGGTAAATTTAAAATTTTCATTTAAAACTAAAAAAATTAAAATTATATATATTTTTTTAAAAAAAAGAAAACACAAATTTTGAAATAAACCCAAAAGTTTGAAAACTTTCATTTCAACCCCTAAACCTATGTTGGCCACCGCCTTCTGCCGTCGACGAAGCTCCACCCTACCTCATCTCCCCCGCCAACCAAAACCCCTATGAAATCGTGACCAATCAACGGTCGATCGATGACGAATTGACGTTTTATACTTTGCGAACCCTAGGTTGAAAATCGTGATTCTACGCGATTCCGACGGTCAATCGACGGTAACTACAATGGTGTATGACTAGGAGGATGGTAGGGGCTACATCGATAGCTGTTGTTGTGGCTGGAAAGGGCGGCAGCGGCGGGGTTAAGGTTAGGATTTCAGGATTTTAAGAATTTGGGGGGTATTTTATAATTTAAGAGAAATTAGAGTTTTTTTAAATATAATAATATTTTTAATATTTTTTAAAAAATAAATTTTAAAATCACCAGATTGTGACATATGTCACTTATCAGATGAAATTAATGCCGTTAATGGCTCGGGCACCTAAATATATAATATTTATAAAGTTAGACAACTAGATAAATTAAAATAGTTTAGGCGTCTATTTGAAAAAAAAGAATAAAATTTATACACTTATTTTTATATTAACCCTTTCCTGCCGCCTCACCATCTAAATTGCATGTGAATTTTTATTGTTGCCACTTGCAACGTTTCAATTCTAATAGCTTCTACACAATTCTTTTTCAAGCTGCCAGTTGACCACTTTAAGTTGCCGCGGCTTCATCGTCCAAGTGGTCATTTATGAATCATGCAAGGCTGCCGACATCCAAAGGAAATCAAGTTTGTTTAAGGCTAGAATCATGATTATGCCTGAAAATAATATCGTGTCATTAAATTTAATCAAATCAATTATTGTTTTAGTAGATTCAGAAACATTTTATTTTTATTTAAAATATCTAAAAAAAATATTAAACTCTTATTCAATCATTTTAAAAATTAAATATTTTCTGAACAATTACTATAAGATTAAACACTTAAATGAATATTTCACATATTTTTATATCAAAAGTTTAAAATATTAAAAAAAATTAAATTATTTTTCTTTTTATTATACTCAATTAAATTATAATTTCTTAACTTATATTCAAATAAATAATAGTTTTTACTCAAAAAAATAATAATAGAAGATTTACAGTGGAGAATTTGAATATTTGTACTTTTTATTCTACGAGAAATTAGGGATTAAATATTAATTGGGACATTTTTATCTTATGATTTCCCGGTAGTTTCCCCAGATCTCCTAATTTTAATGTTATGAGGGTTGCCAGTGCTACACTGTAAATAGAAAGTGTTACATCAAATAAATCAAACTATACAAATAGTACATTTTAATTCACATGGAACAAAAAATGTAATTGGCATCATCTCAACGAAAAGAAAGTAATCTCAACTTACTAATCTATCATCAGACAAGTTTTTATCTTACAAAAAGGAACAGGAGGGCATAGGATAAACCTGGAAACTGAGGCGCAAACCCGATGATCGCATTACCAACAATGAACAAAAGCAATACATTGTCCGAATCCACCGGCACGACATCCTTGTATCGTTCTCTCTTTCAAAACCGAATAAATAGAGAAGGATGTCATTGGATGATGATCCGCCTCGTACATTTTCTTTTTCTTTTCTACATTTTAATATGAGAACTCGTGACCTCGCAATGAGATGTATTTCTTAGCCCAGATGGCAATGTCCTCGGCACAGGCCTCAGCCTGAGGTGTCTTTAGAAGCATGTCAAGGGTTGCAAATTCGTGAACTGCATCCTTATACTCAAGAACAGGTGGATCAACGTTTACCTTCCGAAGGGCCTCTGAGTAAGCAATCGCCCGGTCTCTCATCCAGTCATGCTCTGCTACAACCGTTAGCGTCGGGGGCATAAGTTTCAGAGGTGGGCCCCTGTCTGGAATCAGTGGATTAGCAGCCAGGTGGTCCAGGCTGAACTCTTCCTTGGGAAGAAAGAGTTTCCATGCAAATAGGCACATAGCCTTGTCATAAATGTATGAGTTTACCAACTTTATTTCAGAGTGTGTGGGAACGTTCCCGATGAAGAATGGGTACATTAGAACTTGTGCTACCACCTTGACAGGAGCCAGACGCTTGCCTGCCTCAACAGCTTTGCGAGCCACATAGTCTGCAATATTTGCTCCACAACTAACTCCAAGTAGAACACATCTGTTTAAAGGATATCACAGTAAATCATTAGGCAAAATAGAAGAGAAGATATGTATATATATACACATATACATATATAAAGAGTGAAGTACCAAGAACCAGCAATTTTGCAGAATAACAATTAAACATGATTTGCCAACATTTAATTCCACCCAAAAATCCGGAGTGAGATCAAACTTGGACTTGTTCATATAGATTCTTCCGACCAGAATTCTACCTCACTCGAGTGTGATTTCCAGGTTGACTCTATCTTTTGCACACTTTTGTTACACATGATAACAGTTATACTCGACTAATGCTGGAGATTATAGTCCAGAAGATTGATGACCATACTTAAGACACAACAATGAACATGATACGATCAATTGTCAACTGGACATTACATGCCGACTAAAACTCAAGCTACATGCTGTCTCAAAGGCCTTTGATCAGAACAAGTGAATTGTAAGACACTACATGACAATGTAAATAAGAATCTACGTATTAATGCATGAATGGCATGAGAAGATAACATAAAAGCCCAGTAGATGTCATACCTAGTAATAAAGGTTACCTAAACAAATGGAATATATAACTCTGGAAAAAATCTAACAGTAGAATCTTATATTATTCTCTTTCTGATGTTTCGGTTAAACCACTCAAATCTAAAATCTAAATACAGCAAGAAAATAGGCCCGGAGAACATCAAAACAATTTTTTATTCTCAAATAGTATAGAAAAAGATGGATGCATACTTTTGACCTGTTAAGATGTCAATAAAGAACCTCGATGCCACAAGCCCAAATCAAAACTATAAATAGGTACACAAGCAAAACCAAGGGCAACCATGAACAAAATGTATATATCTCAAGGACATTTTAACTTAGACAACCAAATCCAAAATAGAAAGCAAAGATCGAGAAATAATTGAGATATAAATTTTTATTTCAATATCAAGAGCAAAACATGAATTTACCAAAAATGCAAATGAAATATTGAATTGTGTTAGACAAACAGGAGGTAGTGCTGCACAAAAAAACAGAAGACAAGCCACAGAAACATGTCTTAAAATCTCAGGTTCTGAGATTGAGTCCATATGGTAGAAAACAAAATGAAAGCTTCCAAAGCCTTGGATACCGGAAACAGCAATCAGATCTGACAGAGTTTGGATTTTAAAGGCTTACTACCCAGTTAAACAATTCAGATGAAAGCACTAGTGCATGGCCAAAGATATCTGAACCATATTTACTTTCCAAAGGCTCATATTCAAAAGTATTCAAATCACACAAAAATTCAAGCTTATAAGTCTCATTTCCCAAATCAAAATCCATTTCCTAATCTTAAGGCATCTCAGCTAAATAAAACACATCAAATCTACAGCCGCTAGCCAATAATCTTAACAAGAAAAAAACCAATTAAGAAAAATATACCTACATTGCATCTACTAACAACGAACATCTTTAAGCTTATAAAGTCAAAATCCCCGACCAAATTGCACTTTCTAGCCCCTATTCTTAACAAATCAACAACAATCGATGCACATCAATGCAAGCAAATCTAGCAAAAACAACAGACACAATCGAAGATTGCAGCATTGCATTCATGGACAGGATTGAATTACAGTTAACTAATTGTTTTTAATCTAGGAATAACAACCTAGATGGATCTCCATGAGCTGCCAACCATGGCTCAACCATTGAAGCCCCAAAAGCATTCACAAAATGTCTTTGAAACTCAGCATTGGTGAGCTCTGATCCAGCCCCACGCGCCCCGTTTCCCAACGACTTACCACACTCAGCTAAATTCGCTTGCTTTGCTAACCAGTTCAACACCTTCAACCCATCCTCAAATGCAGCCGGATACCTATTCTCCGGTGCCAACCTGTAACCGACTGCGACGACTATAACATCACACAATTTCGCTATCCTTCGACAAAAATAATCGTTAGCAACTGAATCATTGCTCCCACTCACCCAACCGCCGCCGTGAAATTGCAACATTATCGGTAATTTTCGACAATTTTGAGGTGACGGTGAATATCCTCTATAAGCATTATTGAAGGATCTCAAATTCAACCCCTCGAGACTGCTTCTTCTCGAATCATTTCTAGAGGGGCCCATATTCGACGGGCCATAACTACTCCGGCGGTGATTATGGGAATTGGGATCACCTTCTTGGGACGATCTGAGCTTCTGTTTTGAATCGGGTTGTTCGGGAGGGTAAAGGGAGGAATCAGGGAGGAAGATCCGAATTGGAAGGGCAGTGAATGGATCGATGTGGATGTCTTTAGTGGCGACACCATCGGTGAACGACGGGTTGGAGGCGGAAACGGATTCCTCGGGTCGGGTCGTTACACCGTACGAACTGGAGGATTCATCAATAGAGGATTGGATCAAGTTTTGCAGACGGTGTTTGAAGACGAACTTGAAGAATACACTGTATATTTTCAAAGCTACGCCTGGCATTTCCGCTGAGATTTTCTTTTCTTACCCAAAAACTAAGAAAAGAAAATCCCTTTTACGATTTTATTGCTCGAAACAAGTCTCAGTTTTTTATTTTCTGGGATTTTCTTGATGGGTTTGCATAGCAGAGACCAGAAACAAAGATGAACCCTTTATTTTAATTCTTTCTTTTAGCTTCAGAGTAAGGTTCGGTTTTGTTCGTTGGGGGGTTTAAAGTAAAGGTAAAATTCATGGCTCTGGTGGAAGGGGAAGTTCAAATGGTTAATTAAGATTGAAATTCAACAAGGGATTTGGGTAATTAGGGTTTTTAAATCCTTGGGAGTTTTATTCAAACAAAGAACTCCGTTGTTGGATGATGATGGCATCTTACATTTACATTCCATAACCAAACCAATTTTATTAAGGGTAAACTAGGCAAATAATTCTTTTTGTTTTTTGTTTGATTACTTTGATTATCAATTTAAAAAGTTAATGATACATCATCTATAACGTTATTGATTTATTTAATTTTAATCTCTCATCCATTAATTTTAGGTAACCATTTAACAAAAATATTACGTGATAATAATTTCTTTTATAAAAATCACATACTTTTTTTCCTTCTCTTTCTCCTCATCCACCTCCTCCTTAACATTACAAGATCTTGGCCTTATTTGGTTCCGTTTCTTTTATTTTTAACCCCTCTCCCTCCATATAAGTTAGAAATAAAAAAGAGAAAAAAAACAATTAAAGCTTAATATATGAAAATTCAAAAGAAACAAAAGAAAAGCACCCACAAATTTCATTTGCTTTTACCAAATCAGAAAATTAATTTTAATAAAGAAGTTCTACAGTGTAGCACCTTTAATATATAATTAAAAAAATATTATTAATTTTTTTCATGGTTATCAAAATCGGACCGGATCGATCGATTCAACCGGTTGAACCATGAATCGATAGTCTGTCCGGTCTGGTTACCTCACAAAACCGGTTTAGCAATGAACCAACTGAAAACCGATAAAACCAAGGTGAATCGGCTGAAAACTGGTTTGAACCATCGGTTCACTTTTTTTCTTTTTAAAAAAATAAACCAAACAACGTCATTTGTTCAACGAGCCAAGTCAAATTCAAGTATTGTTGCGCTCGACCAACACTCAAAAACTTTAAAAGTAAGCTCAACTCTACTAAAAAACTCACGAGCTAAAAATTATCAAGTTCAACTTGAACTCGAAATATAATATTAAAACTTGAACTCAAAAAGGCTCGAACTCAAAAAAAATTTAGAAGTTCGATTGAAGCCTAAAATTTGATCTCAATTGAAGCGAAAGAATAGTTCGCTTTGTACTCACCAAAAGGCTTCATGATTTTGAATATCAAATTACCTCTATTATTTATAGAAGTAAGTTGGGATGCTCATCTATGTTTCTTAGTCATGTGGGATTGTTTTGTTCTCATATTTTTATTCTTTAAACTTTTGGGATGCTCTTCTATGTTTCTTAGCCATGTGGAATTGTTTTTTTTTTTTAAATTAAACCAAATGACATCATTTGTTATGATTTTTTTAAGCCCCAATTTTATTTTTTTGATTATAGTTATATAATTATATTTATTATTTAATATGTTTTACCTTAAATATTATGTTGTAGTTGATTTGAATCATTTTGTTTCACTTGATTTTATGGTGTTTAATTTATATATGTTATGACATGTGATATTTTTATACTTTTTAATATTGTAAACTTAAAAAAAAGTGTTACATATATATTAATATTGCTTTGAATATTATGTAAAATTAAAAAAAAAATTATTTTATATAAAATTCGGTTCAACCGCGGTTGAACCCGGTTGAACCAGTGAACCAGTACCTTCACCGGTTCAATGTCCGGTCCGATTTTAAAAACATTGGTTTTTTTATTATTTAAATAATAAAATCGGTAAAAAAATTACTTAAAATATTATTATTTTTACCTAAAATATCAATATTTTTTAATATTATCGGTAAAGTGCCCAACAATAACAAAACCGGTAGAAATAATAATGTTTCCGGTAATTTTTTACCGATTTTATTATTTAAATAATAATAAAACCAATAATATTTTTTAAATTGTATATTAAGGTTGCCGAAATCATTTTCGATTTTAACAACTACGGAGGAATCATTCAATGATCTAATCCTCCCCTGATTTGTTCCATATCTTACATGTAACAGATAATATATTATTCTTTCTTTTCTATTTTCGAATTTGTCATTCGGACGGCCATCACTATTCATACTCAAAACTTTTCACTTTCCATCCATTTTGCACTATAAATAACTTCGATCTCTATGAAAGATCAAGAAAAATTGAAAGACGAAATGTCAAAATAAAGTAAACACAAACCACCAAAACAAAGCTATGGAGGAGGAGGATGAGGAGGAGGCGGAGGCCGCTCTTGTGACTTATGTCTTTTCATTTTCCAACTCTTATTTGGAGTCAAAGCACTTAGCCTATGGCTCATCTACCATCCCAACAAAGTTCGTTTCATCGTCGTAAGTGTCGTCGTTTACCAACTCGACGCCACGTCCTAACTTTTCATTTCCACTTCCACAAAATTTATCATAATCACACGAAACCCAATAGGAGAGTCTCCATCCTTTAGGACAAGTTGTAAGCTTATGTTTTGTACAAAAACCAACATATCATTCCCCCACTGGACTTACCATCACTGTTTCATGAGAAGAAGACCACGGCGACGTTTTTTCCGGTACTTTTTTTTTTTTTTGGATAAGTCAGATTTATATATCCAAAGAACATAGTCAGAACAAAAATACAATCAGGGTCCTAGACAAAACAAATAATTACAAAATAATCAAAGATTTTCTATACCTCAGCGATTGTATATATAAATATTAACAGTATCAGTTCGATTGAATTCCCCCCCCCAAAGCTGCAGACTAACAATATCTTTAATGGCTTTTAAGATTGCTTCAGGTGGCTTAGCACGGTTCTGCAATACCCGCTTGTTTCTTTCTTCCCAAATCATGTATACGATAGCGTTGAGAGAAAGTTTCATGACCAAAGTTTGTAAAGATTTACCTTTCCACAGAGAGCTGGCCCGAGCCATGAAAACCTCCAAGAACAGTTCTGGAATTGCAAACCAGACAGTGAAAACACACCTTTCCAAATGGCGTCAGCAGTAGAACATATGAGGAAAATATTATCTCTTATTTCCTGTTCAGAATTGTAGAGCACACATTGAGATTCGTTGATGAGTCCAATTCGCAGCAGTCGATCCTTAGTTGGGAGCTTGTCAAGGAAAGTCATCCAAGAAATGAGGTTGTGCTTGGGAATATGCATGGGAAACTAGATCAGATTCTGCCATGGTACTTTATCTTTCTTTTCTCGGATTGAATCCCAAATTTGACTAGTTTTGCTTGTAGCTGGAGTAAGAACTTGAAGTGCTTCGGTTCTGAGTTGGAGGAGTTTCTTAAGACTCAAACTTGCAGAGGGTTTAATGTCCACTGTCCAAAAATCTTTATCCTTGAAAACATAATGATTAAGCCATGCAACCCAGAGGGATCCTTCCCCATCTATGATGTTTTTAATAAGTGAAAGCATACAAGCTTTATTCCAGGATTTCATATCCTTGACCCCGAGCCCTCCTTCAGATTTCAAGAAACAAATTTTTCCCCAACTCACTCTTGCTCCAGCCGCAGATTTGTCTGACCCTTTCCAGAAGAAATGGGAGCAAAGTTGTTCTATTTTCTTTAGGACGGATCTTGGCAGGAAAAGTTGTCTACACTAAAAATTAGAGATACTAGACAGTACAAACTTAATTAGTTACAGTCTTCCAGCATAGCTAAGGAATTTTGTGGACCAGTGCTGCAATCTAGCTTTAATGCTATCAATAAGGACCACACAGTCCGTTTCTGAGATTTTCTTAGTGAGCAGAGGAATACCTAAGTATCTCATAGGCAGAGAACCTAGGTTGAACCCAGCAGTATGTTGAATTTTCTCAATTACTCCAGTACCCATACCAGCAGTAAAAAACTCAGTTTTAGAAGCATTTAGTTTAAGGCCAGAAATTTCATAAAAGTAGTCTAAGACTGTAGTAACACCAAAAATAGATTCCTTATTCCCTTTGCAAAAGATGAGAAGGTCATCGGAAAAGGATAGATGTGTTAGACCTATCTTTTTACATTTGGGGTGGTAACCGAACACTCCTCTGAGAGCAGCCAAGTTAAGCAGTCGTGAAAGAATATTCATAGCGAGGACAAAAAGCAAAGGAGAGAGGGGGTCTCCTTGCCTTAATCCCTTAGCTCCCTTGAATAAACCAGATAGGCTTCCATTGAGAGAGATTGAATAACTTGTTGTTGAGTAGAAAATGGTAATCCAGTTGATAAAAATCCAAGGAAGCCCAATTGCCTTCAATATAGAAGAAATGAAGTTCTATTTGAGATAATCAAAAGCTTTGTGGATGTCCACTTTCAATGAGCATCTAGGGGGACAAATTTTTCCTATTGTAACCTCTGACAAATTCTTGCGCAAGAAGCGTGTTTTCAGTGATGCTCATACCTTTAATAAAAGTGATTTGGTTTAGGGTTACCAAGTCAGGCATGGGAGTGGTAAGTCTTCTAACAATGATCTTAGAGATGGATTTGTACACAACAGAGCAACAAGAAATTGGCCTAAAATCCTTTACCTTACTTGGGTTTGGGATTTTAGGAACCAATGCAATAATTGTGGCATTGAAAGCGGGAAAGAGATAGGAGTCAGTGAAGAAATAGGAGATGGTTGCAACAACATTTTTTTCAATAATAGGCCAAGTAGATTTGAATAAATAAGGGGAATAATCATCAGGCCCCAGAGCTTTTTCGTTGCCTTGGCTGAAAAAAGCGTCTTTAATTTCCTCTTTTGTAATATATTTCGTTAGAGCTTCAGCCTTGTCAGCAGGCAAAGAAAACTGGAGTAAGTCCTTCAACAGGTTAGGACAAGTTTCTTTTACTGCATAATCAGCAGTACCTAACAAGGTGGAAAAAATTGATCACATCTGCTGACATTTGGTCATAAGATTCAAGTCGGTTACCATTGTCATCGATAAGGGTGCGAATTGTGTCTCTTTTGTTTTTATAAGCAACTGCATAATGAAATAACCTAGTACATTTGTCACCCTCCTTCAACCATTGAATTTTTGCTTTTTGTCGGAAAAATAATGTTTTTGCTTCCTCTAAAATTTTCAATTCATTTTATAGGAACAACTCATTTTCAATATCTTCCTCGCCCTTTAATGTTTTCAGTTGTTGCTGCTCTAGCTCTATTTTCTTTTGCTTGACCCTAGTCGAAAGTCTGCTAAAGCATGCATGATTGAGGTTCTTAAGGCTGGATTTCAATCTTTTTAGTTTATAGAATA